AGGATCAACGACGTCGTTTACAAGATTCGACACGGACCGAAGACGAAAACGAAGATAGTTCACTTAGGCCGCCTCATGAAGTACAACAGCAGCGCCGTTGACTTTTCTGATCGCGACGATCAGAACTAAGGAGGGGGCAATGTTACGAAATAAACCCATACGCCGCCCCGGTGCGACGTCTATGGATATATGCGGCTTTGATGACTCATTGTCGGTGACGGCGACCAAAGAAGAGCCTGGAAGCGGATGTTGCGACGAGTGTTCGAGAACAAGCCTAGAAGCGGTGACAGAGACCTTCGAGAAGGACCGTGCGATTGTTTAAATGGGAACCACCGTCGGTAGGAATGAGAGTAGCCCAACCAATGGAAGAAGTCTAGTCAAATCCATTCCAGTTGAGTCGGAATTATTTTGTACATAATCGATGTGTAATTAGTCGTGTAAGGTTGAGTTACTAAGAAATAAATTGTTGAGTTTTACCAACGCCGATTTTATTAACCGATCAACGTAACATTATATAATTTTTATTATTCAATCCCTACAGTAATAAAGCTGGTCTTTAAAGACATAATACCAATCATACAAAACGTGAGGCAAGCGCGTTAGCTTTGCATCTGAAGGAACCGCGATTTGATCTGCGATATATCCAACTTTTTTACCTGTACTTTAGCAGTCCATACATATCTCTAGTTTAAATTATAAGGATTAGTGAATAACAAGGCAATTTGTTTTAGCGATTAAATGAAGAATGGGCGACTCAGTTTTACAGAAAATTTGGGAATACACTCCACCTGTCTCAATTCATATAATGTTGATGACGTCATCACAAAATTTTGTAATGGAAAAATTCATTTGAAACATGCGAATTGAAAAAATGAAAGTTGTTAATAAAAAGCACAGTTCCTCTAATGACTAGTCATCTTCATTTCCAATGAAATCGGAAATGTTACGTTCTTTTTTTTATCATAGTTATCCCTATAGATGTTACCGAATAGATTTAATGTAACTTTAATAGGCCGAGTGAAATGAAACGCTTTGTACGCTTTGTTCGCTACAGTACTCCATAAAATTCCACCGAGTTCTTTTGATAAAGGTGTATAATTTAACATTTTAATTTAAGTTAATACCGACAATTTTTAACGTACTTTGGAAAATCCCTAGCTAGTTTACATTTTACTAACAAATAACAGAAGTTGAACTCTAAGCAGCGAAGACCATGGAATAGTACATACTCAAGCCATAAATTTGCCCGGTTAGTCATCTTCGTCCCATCACAAGAAGAGCATTATCAATCATAAAATTGCATAATGTACGGTTGCAACCATCGAAAACTAGACCAATTTGACATAACAAAGAGATTTAGTTGGTTTTTGCTTCCCGAGCGTAAGCAAAGGAAGTATTGTAATCGAGTTCGTCGGCCGACTCCCTACTTTTACGTTTTCTTGACCTTTCATGACCTCTAGAGGACGAAAAATAGGTCTCCCGTTTCCGTCTGTCTGTTCGTCTGTCTGCCGTCCAAGATTTTTATTAGACAGATAATCTCCGAAAGTACCGGACCGATTGTTGTGAAATTTTGTATTTATATTAGGAATATCATGTAAATGGTAAAACCCCAACCAAAATTTGATTGATCATCCCCACCAATAATGTGATGACGTCACTTCAAAATTGTACATAGTAAATGGGTTTCAAATTGTATAAAACAACATAGTCCTACACATGTAGTTTATGACTCCGACTTGAGTTTTTACCTGAAATGTCCAGATTTTTGAAAAAAAAAATCAAAACTATGAAACAACATTTTGCATTTTAATTTGGAATCTACAAAACCTAATGCTTTGAAATCTTGCAGATGGTTTACAGTATAGCCCCTAGAAATACATAGTATCGTCATCCATTGTTGTACGAGTGGAGCAAATGCAGTTGGTAACGCAAAAAATTGCCCTGGTTTGGAACCAAATTGTGTCAGCAGAGAGTTGACAGTGCGTAAACCGTTGTTGTCACGTGGCCTTGGCGTGGTCTTTTTGTTTGAAGTCAATTAATTGTCAATTAATATAACTAATAATTATTAAATAAGATTTTATTGATTAAATTTTATATTTTATTCAAATTAAAACTCCATATTTTGTATATAAACTACAAATTTTAAATCCAACATAAAACCATTTTAAATTTCGCGGTCTGTCAAATGGTGTTTATAATTTTTGTTTTTGTTAAGTTTCCGCCAGGTTTGCTCCACGGTGACGATACTATGTGTTTTCTAGGGGATATAGTTTACAGTTATGATAAGCACGATAAATTTTTAGTCAAAATATATTTACTTATCCCCTCCAAAAAATTTATGACGTCAGCTCACAAGTTTGCCGAATAAATCCTATCTAAAATGCACAAAATATGATGAGTCTGTACTTGTGCTTTATCTTTCCACTCATACTTTTTTGGATTTGCATATACAGGGTAACTCAAAACAAATAATGAAAGCGTGAATTTATTTAATTGATTGAATCAGGAACTACAAATCCGAATGCTTTTAAATCTTGGAAGTGTTTTAAAGTTATCATAAGCATGGTAAATTTTTGATAAAAATGTATTTGCTCATCCCCCCTAAAAATTGATGACGCCACCCCAAAATTTTGCTGAAAAAATCTTATCTTAAATGTGCAAAAAATGATGAGTCTATACTTGTGATTTATCTTTGCATTAATATTTTTTAGATTTTCTTATACGGGGTGTCTGAAAAAATTAGTGACTGAGTCAATTTATCTTATTCATTAAATCAAGAATTGCAAAACTGAATACTTTGAAATCTTGACGTTGTGAAGTTATTGAAAACATGCATAGATGATGCCAACGTAGTTGGCGAAACGCGTCGACAAATATATTGTGTATTTTCGGTGTTGTGGAAATACACATTCTATAAAATACAAAATATTCGAAAAATTATAAAATTTAATTTTGCGAATTTTATTTTTACTTCCTGAGCGTAAGCGAAGAAAGTATTGTAATGGAGTCTATTGGGGGGTGAATCGCTATTTTTATGTTTTCTCAACATTTCATGACCCATAGACTATGAAAAATTAGGTCTCATGGCTCAGTCTATGTACCGTCTGTTCAGATGTTTATTAACAGATAATCTCCAAAACTACCGGACCGATTGTATGTAATATGTATATTAAAATATCGCGTAGATGGTAAAACTCAGTATCATGACATCTCAAAAATGTTTATAATAAATTTTACAAAATAGCATACTCTTTTATTTGTTTCATTGAATACAAATTCGCAAAATCAAATTTTTTAACTTTTTGAAGAAGCGGGATTTGTGGCACTGCACTTTGGGAGCTAGGGAAGTCCTGTCGAAATAACTTTCGACCAATTTTTTAATATAACAGCAATTTGAGGATACGCTCCTGGTCTGAAAAAAGGGGACAGTGAGTTTGTCAAAATTATTTGATTTGTCAAGCAAAACATCTAAGGGTCCAGTTTTCCATGATCGCAATTGTGCAAACAAAACGTACAGAGTGGACAAATCCAGGCATAAATATCCATAATTCCAAATGAAAAATCAAAATTGCGTTGTCGAGTTTGATTGCTATTAGGACGACTATTAGTGTGTGGTTTTCCTATCATTTTCAAGAAATAGCGGAAGCAACTTTTTTAATAATCAATTTTTTTTAATTTTTTTTTTTTTTGAACAGCACATTATTGATTGTCACTGATATTCTGATATTATATGTAACTAAATATCACGTCGAACGCCATTTTTTAGAATATACATTTATGAAAAGTGGAATAAGCTTGTCAAATACAATCGCACCACTAATTCCATCCTGGAATCTAAGTTAACGTACATAGTACAAATATATATTACATATATACCGCGTGATCAAAAATGACTGAGTATGTTGGCAATTCTGTATTTTTAGTTGAAATTGATATCACGATGTTTTCTATAATTTCCGGTTGACAGATTGTTGACATTTTTAATTTGCAAAATGTATCCAAAACATATCCTAAATTTATCGCATGACACGATTGACATACCTGTCACATAATTACTTTCGTTATGCCAACATAAAAGCAAGAAAAGTTCACAATTTTGTTTAAAAAGTGCTGCCAACAGAGTCAGTCAGTTCTGATCACGCGGTATTTAATGTAAACAGCATTGACAATGATTAGCGCACGGTACACGACAATGTACAGCCAAATAGGATAAGCTTAATAAAAACTTTGTGGATCATACGATATTTTTAATCTTCCTAATTAAAATTATGAAGGAATTACATCTTGGTCAACTATTTTTTAAATTGATGCATAATAAATCCAGCCTCAGCTACCTAATAAAGTTTCCGGATTTGTATTGTTTACATTCTGTCTTTTTATATTAGAGAAAATATTGGAATAGAAGTGTCCCTGTAAGTGATTAATTATACGCTCTGGCATGTTTTGAATAAGATTTTTAAACAAAACAATTGATTTTTGTTCAGTTGCGCAATAACCGAGATATCACAATCAATTATAAAACACATTAAAGTTGCTCGTTATCGGCTAAAATTAAAAAAGTCATTTCTGCTTCCGTTACACAATGCAAACTTTTATTTTGTCGTTTGGGTTTTGCAGAAGGCACAGAACTTCACCAATTAATGGATTTTGCTTATAAAAGGAATCTTTCAAAACTTTGTTTCTTGAAACTAAAAAAACTTTGATTAAAATGTAAGATTATTTTTAACCGTTACTTTTTCACAACGACCAAGACTTAAAAAGTGAACAAGAGAATATAATTATAGAGTCTAGAAACAAGAAGAAACCATCCGTCCGTGTCAGCAACATGCCGAATTTTGTTAGCGCGGGAAATTCAAAATAGTTGAATTCAGTCTTAATTACGAACTAAAAGTGACGATTGCTCCAAATTGATGATAATATTAACGACGTTTTCTTATAAAAATATTAACATCTTATCCTCTGTGTCCACCAAACATATAAATTAAAGGTAGTATACTTACAAATACAATCATGATGAAAAATGCCGCAAAGTAAGAAGTCCTCGCCATCCACATGCTGACAAAACGATAATGCTCTCCAGTAACAACATTTCTAATAACAAAAAAAATTAGACCTTCTTGGCCACCAAATTTTAAATGTTATTACCTCAAATAACCTTTATTATCTTCTTCCTCAGCTAACGTTTTAATGGACGCCATAAGTAAATCATCGTAGCCCAAGAACTCATCCAAAACCAACCGACTAAAAGCATCTCCAAAACACTCATCTTTCCCAGGATCCAAAGTTACTATATGAACTGGAATTTTTAAGCGGGCTCTAACCATTGGTGACAACCGCAAAAACCCATACTCAAGGGAATATTCAACAATATACTCATCTTCCGGCCAGTCTACAATAAAAACCTCATTTAATCAATTATGATAAAAAGTGAGAAAATTGAGTGTGATCACACAAGGACACACCCAAACCCTGATCAATATTTTTTGGGTTGGTTTTAATTAACTCAGGGCTACATCAAAAATCAATACAAACCTGAAGATTTGCTTTGAGTTTCTCTTTTAGCATCAGCGAGATTATCAGTGGTAGTTTGTGCGTCTGATTCAGATTCTTTAGAAGAGTTTTCGTAACTTATGTGATCTTCTGTGTTTGTCGGTTCTTCATGTGGTAACTTTACTTCTGAAGAAGATGCTGGTAGTTGTGTTAAGCGCTGAAAGCCGTCCCAAATTGTTGATGAAATGTGCGTCACGTTAAAGAGAGAGTTTGGCATAAGTGGCTTCCGTGTGGAATGTGACGCATTTTTATTCTCACTAATATAATCTGCAAAAAAATATGAATTAAACGAAACTATATACATGTAAATCTTAATTGATAATTATAAGTTAGACAATAGTGTTAGAAATGCTAATCAAAAAATAACCACAAAAACAAAGTTCACACAAGTCAATGAGCAAAATTCATGCAAATGCACTTTTGTTGGGCAACTTAATTAACGCAGATTAACTTTCTAAGATTCTTATCTATGTAACAGTAAAAAAAAAGCAGCGAACAATTACTTTGATAGTCAGGGCCTAATGGTTCAGTCTCTCTTCCAGCATCCTCCACTGCTGAAGGCTCAATATTTACAAATCCGTCCCTGGCCAGCAACCCCAGCACGCTAGAAATGTCGTCGACTTTTTCCTGTTTGATTTTCTCTTCTTTGGCATAGCTTTGTTCAATATTGTAATCCTTGCCTGCGTTTCTGACTATCTCAACCCTCAAGATGCCATCCCGAGGCCACGTATCTTTTACGTGTTGTAAACAAGTGGTTGGTGTTTTAGAAAATGCTATATGTATATACACTAGTACAAAGAAAGCAGCTATAGCTTTAATTAAAATAAGAAACTCAAAAATCCTCCTAATTGGCTTTGGAAAAGTCCTTGCATATGCTAACGCTGCTTTGAAAAACAACGTATGGAACAATCTATCCCTAACATTAAATAGAGGATTTTGATTATTATTGTTTCTTATTCTATTAGGGTTGATCAACGGTCCTCCACCAACATGATTGTTTTCGGGGTTCACCCCCTCTGGTATGGCTTGGACTGGATTGTTTCCGGCCATGGTTTCTATTCAAGACTATGGTATAAGTTCATTCTGAAACACAAAAGCTGAAATCAGCCCACAATTGGCCCAGACAGTTTGGTTAAAGTGGTGACACAGTTTACACCAACAACTTAACCTACACGTTTGAGGTTAGGTTTTTTCAATGTTAACAATGTGCATACATTATGCACCATATTAACATTAAAACCAACAACTCATTTGACGTAAATGTTTATAAAGATGGAAAAAATGTGACCAGATTCGTGATTACTAATTGCAACAAACGCACTTATTACCTTTGTAATGCAATGAAATGTCTTGAGAGCGTTCACAGGCATCCTGTTAACATCTTGGGCTGCCGTCTATTAAGTGTATTATCTGCAGCTTTTATTTATTTATATTTTGGTATTAATTCATAAAAAAGCACAGATTTGAACCCACATATGTCATATGTCACTTTGACACTGACAGCTACGCGGCCTGCTTTATCGATATGGAAAGGACTAAAGTAACAACCAGTGATCGTCAAACGTTTATTTCATATTTTAAAAATACAACCACCCGTACACAATTAAAAAAAAGATACAAAACACGGGGTATGATAACTTCATGGCGTACTCAAGCCACAAAATGTTTTTCGGATACTCTTTAGAACATGCAACTTTTTTTAGGTGGAAGTGGGATTCCTCCAATGTGCACACAAAGTCTACAAAGATTGTTTCCAAAAGTGTTGTCAGGGAAAATGATGTGCAAATTAAAACAAATATGTCGAGGGCTTTTAAATATGGTGTTGGACGCATTGAACATATCGAACAATAATTGAAGTAAACTAACAGAAAGAGAACTGACGTGTTTATACACAGTCGATTGGTTCGTTTATTGAGGTTAAACCAAAATGGCGTATAGTTCAGTAAAGTTAATAAAAACGGCGGTAACATGAGGCAATAAATATAATGCTGATAATGGCGTTTAAAAACGAACTGGACCACAGCGGTACTGAAATTACCTAAAAACATATTTTTTTCTTTACTATTCAATTTATTAGAGTAAGCTAAAAATCTGCTTTCTTACCAGAACATCGTACGTCAGTTTCTATAAAGGTAATAATATTAGTCACATTAAATTCGTTAAAATTTATATTCGTAGTTATATGCAGTGGAACCGAATCCCACACAACGGTTACTTCATCTTGTGGAAACCTATCTGAAACGAACTTACCGTAAAATTAACAATCATATCAAAACACATTCTTACAAGTGCCAAATTTAAAATCGCAGATTTGGGTATCAAAAGGGAATTTTCGGTAATTTGTAGTACACGTTGTCCTTACACTTATTTTCTCACTCAGAAGAACGTTTCCCTCGTCACCGAATCCCCTCCAAAACACCGCATCCTCGTTATTACAGATTTTATTTTCCCCATTAATACTTATAATTTTCGGTTTCCAAATTTGTCCAGCGACTGCCATTTTCCGTGTTTTTACGTTAGCACCCAATCGTGCGTCGGTCCATTCTTGGTTTAATAACGCCGTTAATTCGACCTCCTGGTAGTACACGAAGAAACAACAATCAAGTAAAAGTTGCTAATAACAAGAACTTACCAGATTTTCAGGATTTATAATTTTAAGCGTTTCAACGGATAACGACAGATTTACACTGGTAGTGATAACGTCGCGTAAAACTGGGCGACCCATCTCCGGTAGTTTAATGGGATTACGTAAAGACAACGCGGTTCCCATTATCATAAAACAATCAACGAACTTCTTTGTCATTGTGCGTATTTTAAGAAGCACTCGTAAGACAACTGAACTTAATTCTTCATGTTAACACATTTGGTATAGCAATTAATGATGTAATTAGGCGTACATATGAATCCAGAGAACGCGACGTAGTTAAGGTCGATATGTTATGGTCTAGTTCGGTCCTAATTTATTAATTGGTTGTGGGAAAAAATAGCGCTTAAATAAAAACAAACTTATATTTATATAAACACCCTTCCCATACAGTCACAACTACTTATATTTAACAAAACAAAAATTAGATAAGAAGTAATTATTGGCAAGAAAATATATCATGCATATAAAACGTATCACAAATACATAGTTTTATTAAAAATGCTGTATTAAAATTTATTTTGACCAAAAATCACCTGGAGATACCAACAATTTTTGTACACTGAACTTTCTCTGCCATGTAATGGCCTATAAATCCTAGGATTTAAAATCCAAAGGTACCACAAAATCATCATCTCCTTACTGAAACGTAAAACTAGAATTTTAGTTAACAGTAACTTTAAAGCTATCGGATTGGTATACGAGAAGTGTACGGAAACCATGATCCCTTCCCTTTTATCATAAAAACCACAATTACACCAACAAAATGTATAAAAAGCTTATTTTAAAACTAACAGATCCACTTTTTTAATTTAATGTCAACAGACATCGAAAACATATTAATTGTTGAATACAAACAAATAACAACTAACGCAAATGTTAACAAATAAACGTAATGCTTTCAGGCGATAAATATTGGCGTTTGCATAATTTGATAAATTTATATTTAGAAAATGCTACCTTTCACAAGTTTATCAGGTTATTCTTAACGTGACTTCTGACAGCAGACGATTTATGTTGAGTGAGTGTAGTGAATAACCTAATAGCCTAACATAACAAATACAAAAGATGACTTTTAAAAACTCAATCGTATGTTTTTGTACACAATTAATCAAGCAAATGACAATTTAATTTTTACGAAACAAAACAGACAACTAAAAAATAACGTCAAGATTATTTTTGACCTTTACCATGGTAAATCTTTGTACATAATTTCCAAAAAAAAAAATGAATACGGAACATCATTGATTATTTTAAAAGTACAATAAAAAAGGTACAGTTAAAAAGTGCACACAAAAGAGTGTATAGGTAGAATAGAATTTTTCTAATTTGAGACAAAATTCGTGAGTCATTCACAAGTAAATAGGAAGAAGGTATTGATAAGATAATTTTTACAACATTCAATTTACACTTATTAATTTATAATAATGAATGACACAGCAGTTGTTTTGGAATAAAATTCGTAACATAATGTTATCTCTGACAATGCATAAAAAAGATTTACTATTCATAATATTGTGTAAAATTCATTAACTAAAATAATGTTTATTGCATGTGTATGCGTTTATTGATATTTTTTAAAATTATATTATTGCTCAAAACCCATCACTTTATAGGTTTTATAAACACTTTAAACGTATGAAGTGCAGTAAAGAACGACTAGAAATATGTGAAAATAAATGAATGGTGGTACAAAAGTTATGAAAAAACTTTTTAGTATTCTTGCACTGTTGGATAAAGTCCCCGCGTCCGAAAAACAGAATTCTTGGTTAGAACATCACACCATCACTAATAAGTCAATGAGATTAAATATATCCACAAAAAAAAAATTTACTTTAATCTACAGGAAATAATTAACTTTTAAATTTCGATATTTTTTACCAATATTACACAAAGTACAAAGTACAAAGAACAAAAGCAACAATTTAGCTGTTTTAGATTACACAATAGCACTTTGTACGACGACCTTGACATTTATCTTCATAAGATTAGCAACCCTAATTTAAACAAAAACACTGTTATCGTTATATGCTGATTAACTTTGATTGTATTTATGTGTATTATGTATGTAATCGGTATTCTATTTTGATATATATGTCGTATTAAGATAATATTGTCTCTTGGAAATCAGTCGGATTATTGAAAAAATTCAAAATTCGACGAAAATGGATATGTGAGCACAGAAATCATGTAACCCAAAAAAAAATTCAAAATTTAGCCAGGAGTGTTTTAAAATGACAGAATATATTGGCACGCAAAATCCAAATATAGTGGGAAAATTTTTGGTAAATTTTATTGTAAATAGGATAAAAATGTAGTTTTTCTTCAGAGAAGGAAAAACTGTGAAATTGTAAAAGATGTTAGTAACCAAGTTATTATACTGGTATAGTGACGTATTAATGGATTAATGATTTGGGGTAGAAAAGTAGAAACCAACATAAAATGACAAGGAACTTTTAAATTTAGTTCGTCATTCGTTAATCTCTTCTGTGCATTCATCCTGATACGTTTAAATCTTATATTCTTTATCGTGATGGGCTAAATGTACAACAACATGTAAAACAAAATTAAAGCATGTTCTCAAAATTCATACTACAAAACAAAACACAAATATTTGTGAACAATACAAGAATAAATTCACTATTAACGATCAACTTAAATGTTTACAACTTTCGAAAATTCTTGCACTCAAGAATTGATGCTTTAATTTAGCGTTTCTCGTCGAGACTTTGTGACTAATTTAGTTTAATTTAAACGAAGTGGTAATTATTTGTTCAATAACAAAGTTACTATGAAATAATTATTCTCTGATTAAGGTCAAACAAACAAAATTTTACATACCATTTCCAACGTAAAGGCAACTAAAAACTGCTGATCATCCGCACAGTTCTTTCACCCTTTTATGTCAACCCTCTCACTGGTAGGGGTAGCGCGCCCGGTTGAATTTCGTCGTAAAGATTTCATGGTATGATGACATTATGATTGGAATGAGTGCTTGTCGTATAGTTGGTTGACTATAGCGTAAAAATATTTTTGTTTTTCGCGGGCTTTTTCTTGACTCCCAGTTTAATTTTGAACTGGAACACCATATTATTATTATTTGAATCACTTACACTTTCAAAATTTTCAAACCACGTATTTTCAAATGACGTACACGGCATAAAGTAGGTAAATAGTTTTAGTGTTATGTTAAAAATGCGTTTATTCACACAACCGAGAATCTTCTAAAACCGTTCATATTTATGAATAGACACATTAAGGGCTAAAATGTACTAAAATTTGAATACACTCGGACATAAATATAAAAGACTTAACAATACTTTGGCAGTTTATACCTTTTTGTACAAATAACAACAAGGAGGAGTTATGGAGAGAAAAATTATCGTTATATAAAATTTAATTTCAATGATAAACTTTTGACATTGCGTTAGGTAATTAAATATTTATTCGGTAGAAAACGTTGTGTAATGCGTAAACAACAAAAGTATCACCAAGGATAACATCACCAAATCATCTATGAAAAAGTCTAAATGTACATGTATGTGTTTATATGTGTATATTAAATCCATAAGGTATTTCGAAAACAAATATTTTAAAATACATGATTTAAATAATCCACTACAGAAATTCCAAACAATGTCAACATCTAGTCAAAAAGTGATGCGTTAAAGGTTATGTTGATTTTGATTTACGTCAAATTGAGGGCAGTAGTACCACCAAAAAATTGACAGGCACACTTTCCTCTACAATGGATGTGATGAAATTTTTAATTAATTAATTAATTATAATTAAATGGACGCAATTGGTACAATCGATTTGATTTTTTTTTTCATTTCAATATAAAATTATTATATTACATAGATATAGATACTAAAAATCTCACTTTAGAAAAAAAAATCCGCTTATTGCCTTATTAAAACAAATTGTGTAAGACATCCTGTAAAATGATTGTTGAAGTAATTATAAACTAATTAAAGCCTGATTTGTTCCCAACATTGACAACCAATGACCGTTTTATAAAAATATAATCACAAGTCAATCCAAATATTCCCATATAACCCCCAACCCCAACATATAAAAATAATAATTAAGCTGGAGACAATTTCATTTTCGGTTCTATAAGAACCAAAAGACCAGCAACAGAGGATACAACACCCAGCCACCCTATAGTACCAGATGATAGATTCACATGCCCCAGTGCGGTCAACGGTATGAAAAAATCACACCCATTTTTAACAGTGTCAATCATAACACTTCTATTACTCTGAAGCACCACCAGGGTGCGAGTAAAAATCTTACAAAGATCATTAATACTTTGAATACCATGATCAGGTACAATAGATTGTTTTTGTGCTCTAATAACACACGATATTTCATAAAAGTCCCTAACTAAATTCATTGTAATAGAGTACAACCAATACTTGTTTGCCATTCGACTCCATTTTTGTGTGTTAATGCTGCAGAGATCCGCTCGGCCCAACCACAACAGATGGTCGCCCAATAAAAACAATGACAGGGCAATTTTGCTCAAGATAAGAGTGTGTTTCACTGTTGCGTCAGGATGATCCAGTAATGGAAGAGTGGAATATATGGTGTCGATACATTTTCCAAATCTGAGCACTAAAATAAATTTTAATAACACTAACGTGGGCCGAATTGATATCATTAGACTCACACTTTCTAAATGTGCTTAATTGAAACTCTAAATTCTTGAACGCATTCACTCGATCTTTATTGCTGTGTTGTAATCTATGCCATAAAACCCTGCTCAAATACTGAAGTAACCTGAAAAGTGAGGTTAGAAACTTTAATGGACCTTAAAATTTATTATACCTGGCGATTTTATCTCTCCCAGCGGCTTGGCTATTTAACTTGACCAGAGTGTCCATCTTTACACGTGTAAAACCTGTCGTGATCCCTAATTAACTGGTCAAAGTAACAAAATTTTATCGCATCCACTTGACAAATCATTGTTTTGATGACAACAACAGAGACAGACTGATCACGTGGACAGTAGTGTGAGTGAGATGCCGTGAACGAGGTCGGGTCGTCAAAAGTCCGAATCCGAACGCCCAGAATCGCGAAATTTGCCATTTTTCAATGAATCGCGATATACAAGATGATTCCTCGAACGAAGAAATTGACATAAAACCGATTATTTCACCAAACGGTGCAACATGTGAAACTCCGATTGGTTTGTCACCCAACTTAACCAGCGGTCCCAAAAAGTGGTCGCCCGGGTCTCTCCAAGACGCGAACCGTAAGAGCGCGTTCCAGCCATATCGACAAAGTTTGTGTACTGTATTGACTAATCTGCAGCGGGGAAACACTCAAGCTGAGACGCCGGTGCCGCGTTCTGCTGATATAAATTTTCATACGAAAGCGGGACAAGGGGAGATTAATGAATATGATATTAATTATGAGAAGTCGGTGGATGTTCGTGACTGCAATGGGTTGACGGCGTTGCACTGGGCTGCTGCGTATGGACAGTATAATACCGTACTTCTGCTTCTTGCGAATGGCGCTGAAATTGATGTGTTGGGACCTGAAGAGGAGACGCCTTTGACTCTAGCTGCTAACGGGGGACACCACGACGTTATTCGGTTGCTCATTGACAAAGGAGCGAACGTCAATCACGCCGATCACGTAACTATTTTTTTTTATTTATGTATTCTACTGAACGTCTTAAATATCGATATCACTTGATTGCTAATTAGTTTACTTAACTTATAAGTCGTTTTCGAATATTGTTAATTTAAAAATATGAAATATAATTTGAAATGTTTCATTATTATTAGCTATTTGATGTAGTCTTCTAAATATCGTTTTTGATACACATGCACCGATTCAAATCACCTTAACCACAATGTTTATAATTGAGTTCTGCATAAAATTGGAGCAGTTGGTACCATGGTGCACAAACTTGAAGGCAGTTCAAAGTTCAAACTGTTCCAGAAGAAGGACAAATTAAAATACCTTTGTAATAGTATGTGTTAAAAAGTTATTAAAGAAAATTGTTAGCAACAAGTGGAAAAACTGATATTTTCAATTTATCAGTCACTTATTACTAATTTGACAGTGTATAAATAATACTAAAAGAAATCATTCTACGACAAATTCATAATACTGTATCCGAAAAATATATTTTTAATCACTTTACTACCACTTTTTCATTGAAAGCATTTTAGGTTACGGAACTGTCTTGTGAATCGTGTTTGTGCATTTGCCAAAATTGTCTGCATTTCAAAGAAAATGCACACGCCTTCTTTGTCTTTCTTCCAGGAATGAGTGGGGCCCAGTTTTTATTAAATTTCGTATTATTACGGTACCCAGTTCATATACGAAGATATATTATACAATACCTGTTACTAGCTCGTTTACAAAAATTGAAATATAAAATCCCCATTTGTATGTATGAAAATGAAACGAAATGTCTTAATCAGTTTAAGTAAGATTTTTTCAGGTTAAATAAATCACCAACACCCTATTATTAATTTAAGTATTAAATTTTAGTTATTATCCGTTCACGATCTTTATATAGTAGGGTTGGCCATGAAAATCTAGTGAGTTTGTTGGTATTCGATGCAGAAGAATAAAAATTCCCAGAACTTTTTTCGTTAGGTTATGTTTTATTGAATTAAAGTTTAAAAAATATGCCAGAAATATAAACATTGTTGCCGATACTTTCAGTCAGTAGCAATAGCCAAGTTAACGGTATCCATTTCTTAGAAAGCATAAAACTTTACGCTATTTAAAACAGTTATTCGGCTTTGAGTAAGTGTTTATTTCATATGTAAGGAACAAACACTAAAATTTCATTTAAACTTTGTTTTTGTATGAATGGGGGTTCTACATACGACTATTGTCGCATGCCACATTTAGCATCACATCTTTAATTCTCAATCATCAATTCGTTCTGCTCGCCCACTCTTCTTAGAAATGGAAATTTCGACCTTTGTGAACAGCCTATTTCCATACCTTTCAACTTCTTTTTTCAATTTTCTAAGATTACTAAAATGGTTGGTACAACAACCTTGCTCTTGTGCTTTGATGGGTTTAGCGCTTCTGAAACATTTTTCCGACCTTAAATTGAATGATTTATCTATATAGCTATTACTAATGGTTACGAAGTGCTCTTTATTTGCTTTTACTAAGTACTTCCAAACGCTTATTAATAAGAACGTTACTATACACCTTCTCCAGGTCCATGAAGAGTTACAAAAAAAATGAAAATGCTTAAAATTTGGTCAAAGTAACAACGTGGATGATCTAACTAAAATTATACTTATTTTGTTGTACGTCAGGTAGTTTTTCACATACTACCGTGGTAAATTTAGAACGAAAGATGCGCAAAAATATCACCCCCTGACAAGCTACAATTCACTCCATTTCCATTATTTCGCTATGAAAATCTGTATCATCGCCGTCATTTTCAAATTCAGATTCTGAATCAGATTCACCTAGCGAAATAATGAAAGGAGGTATAGATTCGTACGAAAGATTTCCCATATATTTTTCCCAATCTGCCAAAATAAGTTTTTCACAATGTTTACAAAAATTTTGCCACATGTTTGGAGTACATTTAGAAAGCGCCTCAAGCCATAAATTCTGCATCCTATTTTTTAATGAAGGTTGAGAATTTATATGCTTGTAGTAGTTCTTACCAAATCCCCACGCCGTTTCAATTGGATTATATTGACAATGGTACGGAGGTAATCTAAGAACTTCATGGCCACTTTCTCTTAATGTCTCGTCTACCAAATATCTTTTTTTTCTATTGTTTCTGAAGGGTTTAATTAAATCCCACAACTGTTTCTTCGAAAATTTTTTGTCAAATTCAACACTATGTTTAAAGAGCCATTCCTGCTGTTCACATTTTTTACTAGAAAAAGTGGGTGGTTTATGCAACTGAACCGAATGATAGGGTGTATTGTCTAAAACCACCACACATTTTTGGTTCAATTTTGCCAAAGCAGAAATGAGCTGATTAACGATCCAACTTTGAAAAATTGTCCCGTCCATCGTTTTATGATAGTCTCTATCGTTATTTTTTTAATTTAAAAAATTGTCACAACCATCCAAGAACCCCGTTAAACAACCCGCGTAGAGAATAGTAAACCTTGATCCTTCACTTTTAATTTTGGTGGGATTGCTTTTTAGATCAGTATCGTGCATCCAGCGACGAATGGACGAACTATTTTGATAGATCCATGTTTCATCGAAATACACGAAAGTCAAATTTTCACAAGAATTTAGAAACTGTAAATATGTTTTCAAAAAAGTAATTTTGGCTGCAACGACATGTTTTTGTTCACATAGAATTTTTCGACCATTTACTTCCCTGTGTTTATAACCTATTGACTTAAGAATTTTGTAGAAAATTTTAATAACATTTATACTATGCCAAATTTTGAGATGACGTCATCACATTGTTGATAGGGATAAATAAACAAATTTGGATTAGAATCAGTGGAGTAGTTTCAAAAATTATCAGTTAATAAACATCGACACAGAAAACGGACACACGCCAAACTGACAAACGGAATCGCGAGATCCATTTTTTCATACACTATACATGAAACGTCGAGAAAACATGAAAATAGCTATTCATCGAACGAACTCGACTACACTGAGGAAGTAAAAATTGAACAATTTCCGACAAGCAGCAAAGAAATATTGAAGTAGTCCCAAATTTCTTACGTTAACATTTAACACTAATTATGCATTTACTGTGTTCGCACGTCTGTTACCATGACAATACATATATGGAAAACAGATATATCTCCGCGTTTAGATAATTTATATTATTTACAGTCAAAATTAATACAACACATAAGTGTTTTATACTCTATTATAGTCGTAATTAAATGATCTATAAAAATTTGTCAAAAAATATACGTTGCAACTGGGGTTTATTGTTACAGATTTTAAGGGGTGATAGTTTGCATTGTTTTTATTACATTTACAGCTCAGACTTATTCCAAAAGAGTTATAGAATACACAAATTTCGTAGCCCACCTGTTGAAAATCGCTGGAATTTATCTGATATATTGAAATTAATACAATTGTTTTATTAGAAACCATGACAATAAATTCAGTAATAAAATAATAAAAAATAAAATTAACGGCTGATTGACAATTTATCAGTCAGTATCTGTCAGAAAATTTTAATATATTTAACATGGATGCCAGTGGGTACTTAATTAGAGAATTAGCGTTTCCCCCACAGACGGTTACCCTAAAAAAAACAAGATCTTCCAAGAGACGGGTTCATTGTTACTTAAAAGAGTCAAACGAGCTGATTAAGCGTAAATGACGAATTTGACCTATCCGGCTAGGCACCCACCCCAAAATACACTTTTCTCCTGTTCCATGATTCAAAATAGAATTTAAAAAATACCATGAATCCAAATTTGCATTCTTATGTCAGTGGCAATTTTGAGTGGTTGAAAATTATTTCCAAAATTCCAAGATATTCATTTACCAACACCAAGAAAACGAACATGATCATAATTTATGAAGAGTGTCAAAAAATGCTCTAGTGGCGGCAAATTGGTACCCCCAGAGATATCCTGAACGTAGACATCCAATAGATAAAATTTCCAAAAGACTTGAAATGAAATTACGAAACGATTGACCTGTGAGTGAACAGAGAAGTGTTTTAACCGCTACACGTTTGGACAACAGGATCTAAGTTTTGGAGAAGGTTTTACTCGTAGAAAATCCTCAACGGGTAATTGCGAGAAAAATTGGCATAAATTAATCTTCTATTTGTTGAAGACAAACAAATATCATATGACTTTCGTTCGTGAACTACGTACTTCGAGAGCCTGACGTTCCACGAAAATTAGAATTTTGCAGTTTTGTTCGGAAACAGCTGCTAAATAATCTCAATTTCATCAGAAACATTTTATTTAGTGATGGGGCCAAATTTTCGAACAATTCAGTGTAAATAAACACAACTTATATTATTATGCACAAGAAAATCCGCGATGGATTCGTGAAACTCCTTGTCAGAGAATTGTTTTCATTAACTTTTATTAATATTTTAATAGCCACGCGTGCCAGTGACACTTTGTTTTGACGTTTTTAAAATCACAAACGTCGTGGATTTGTGATATTTTTGAAATCATAGTGCAAACCAAACAATAAATGAATAATGTATTTCCAGTTTCCGCTAACCACAAATTACATTCGTCATTTAGACTGAATCACCCTGTGTTTGCGTTGCGGCACCGGCCCCATATGTTGTCTTTGCCATTTCTATTGAAACACCACCTGTTGATTTTGCTTAAAATTTAGCAATTAGTAACAGCTTTCGGTTGATTGACAACGGCTTTTAGTTAGAAAATTGTCTGAATATGAACGTTGCCAAATTTACGACTAACAAGTGGTGTTTCAATAGAAATGGCAAACACTATATATACATCATTTTTGGATTGTATTAAATCCAACTTCTCCCTTCAAGCTCAAAACAGTGATGTTTATAGATTTTCAATATTTCGTTCCATTCCAAGATATAAGACCTGGAAGTTTGATCTGAGACACCTCTATTATAAAATATATAGTTGAAATCTGAGGTAATTTAGTTAAATTTTATGAATAAGAAGTATTTTTTTATTGACCAAATAATAAATTTCTTATTA